TTCCAGTTTTCTTCTGTTTCCTACCTTTTTTTTTGTTTTTTGTTATTTTTTTTAACTTTATTTCCAGCTTTTCTTGTCAGTTTCCTGCCCTTTTTTGTTTTTTTTTTGCAATTTTTTTGTAACTTTTTTTCCAGCTTTTCTTCTGTTTCCTCCTTTTGTTTTGTTTCTTTGTTTTTTTTGCTCTTTTTTTTTTACTTTTTTCCAGCTTTTCTTCTCAGTTTCCTCACTTTTTATTATTATTTTTTGCTCTATTTTACTTTTTTCCAGCTTTTCTTCTCAGTTTCCTGCCTTTTTTTGTTTTTTGTTATTTGCTCATTTTTTTGCTTTTTTTCCAACTTTATTCTGTTTCCTCCCTTTTTTGTTTTTATTTGCTCTTTTTTTTTTGCTTTACCAGATTTTCTTCAGTTTCCTGCCCTTTTTTTTAAAAAATTTTTTACTTTTTTTTTTAACTTTCTTTCCAGCTTTCTTTTCAGTTTCCTGCCTTTTTTGTTTTTTTTCCCTCATTTTTTTTAAACTTTTTTCCAGCTTTCTGCTCGATTTCCTGCCTTTTTTTGTTCTGAAGCTCAGTGTTGATCATTTAGGAGCGCGTAGTCGTCTTTATTTCCGGGTTTCCCCCCAGAGAAGCCTTTTTTCTGTAAATATCGCCGGCCTGTTCGGATCACTGATGAGAGGCTGTGAACTTTATCTGGATAAACTACTTTTATACAAATCCTTTGTATCTATTTAAAAGAAGAATCGCAGTATTTTGAATATTTCCTATAACTCTTCAACGATCCATGAAGTTATATATTTATCAAAGTATAGTTTTTAATGCAGATATGTATTTCATTGTACATACGGTGGTCATACTCCCGTTATCCCTTTTTTCCTTCTTTTTTTGTGTGTTTGTCCTGTTTCCTTCAGTGTGTCTCGTGTAAAATAATGTGTCTGTCGCTAGTGTTCATCCGGGTGCTGACTTTCATCTTCAAATGAAAATTGAAGTGCCTCAAACTTTGACTTGTACCAAGAAGCATCTATTAAAGACTATAAATCAGCTTTGTGTTACCTGAGTTTAACTTTTCTTTCTTTTTTTTAGCCCTGAATAATGTTCCTGTTAGAAGAGTTTGTGTCATTTCTGTTTCCAGAAATCTGCTTTTTTAACATATTCAATATAATTTTGTATATTTTAATATATTCAATCCAAAAAAAAGGTCAAGCTCATAGATGTTAATCATTGATAAAATAACTTATTTATTTATTTTTTAGAGAAAATGTTTTCCTTTTGCATCAGCCAACCTCAGCCAATGCTTTTAAAGGAAAAAATATGTTAAAATGGTACAAAACTCCATTCTGATTAGAAGAAATCTTATCACTACATGTGCAGTTTTGAGTATATAAAGTATTTATTCCGTTTTATGTATTCATAAAAATCCAAAGGCTGTACATCCCAACATCCCTTTGCTTTACAAAACATTTTTTCCCTTTAAAAAAATGGAAAAGGAGATCAGAACCGCAGCTTTGTCTCCCCTGCATCAGATTTATTTATTACTAAAATTGTTTTAAAGGACGTTAAATGTGCATGATTGCTTAATAAAATGTAATTCATCATCAGACAAAAGTTTAAAAAGAACAGAAAGAAAACAAACATTCTCCTGTGTGAAGACATGATAAAAACACATAGTGGGAGTAAAGCTGCTGAACATTCAGTAAAAAGCTCTTCCTTATCTTTTCTTGTTTTTTCTTTTTCTACTTAAATGCCATTATATGAGAGTTCAAGGTTGCATCCACGAGATAGAAAAAGGACTTTTCTGCTGTTTTCTGCACGTCATAATATCAGTGAACTGAAACACTTATCTGTTTCACAGCTTTAAATGTCAGCAGTGCCAAGAAAAAAAACTAAAGAAGGAAAGAATGTTCCTCTACGTGACAACAGAACAAGATCTGGCATTACAGTCTTTACAATAATAATAGTAATTATACAATAATAGTAATATTAATGAATTAATATTAATATAAGTAATTATAATTAATATAATTATAATTCATTAATATAATATATACATATATATATTATATTATAATATTATTATAATATATATACAATAATTATCATTATTATATATAATATAATGTATATATTACATTATATCTAAAATATTTATATATATGATATATATTTATATAATATATATAATTATAATTATTTATATTATTATAAATAAGTCATAATTAATATAAGTAATAATAATGAACATGAGTACACCCTGAAAACAATGTTCAACACATTGTTGCTCCGTTAACGTTTGCTTAGCTGTAACGTTAGCTTAGCTGTTACTTTAGCTTAGCCGTAATGTAAACTTAGCTGTTACATTAGCTTAGCTGTAATGTTAACTTAGCTATAACATTACCTTAGCTGTAACATTAGCTTAGCTGTAACATTAGCTTAGCTGTAATGTTAACTTAGCTGTAACATTAGCTTAGCTGTAACGTTGGTTAAGGTGTAACAATAGCTTAGCTGTAACGTTAACTTAGCTGTAACATTAGCTTAGCTGTAACGTTGGTTAAGGTGTAACAATAGCTTAGCTGTAACGTTAACTTAGCTGTAACATTAACTTAGCTGTAATGTTAGCTTATCTGTAACGTTAGCTTAGCTTAGCTGTAACGTTAGCTGCTTTTCTTTGGTCCTGTGAATGAGTTTACTAACGGCCCTTTGAACTTGGAGATGGA